GAAATGATTCTCTGTTTGACATGATATACTTAATTATAAACAGTTTGGAATTTGCAAAAGCAACTTGATGAACACCATGTAAATAATGCTGTCCTCCACTTCTGCTCCCACCAGAGAACATCATCTTCAACTGCAGCAATACTGAGTAGAGAAAGGTACACAGCCTCTATGACAAAAAAGAGCAGAGTTGAAATGATGTCTCTTTCATTTATAGTTGCATGACCTGAAGCAAATCAATGTCGCTGAACCTTCACACATTCCACACACACATTCAGCTATAACATACAAATCATACCACCTAATTTTCAGAGCTGTTGTGAGAATTAATGGTAGTAGTATACAAACAGCCTCTGCACAGTACCTGGTATAGTAGATCTTAAAATTCTACTATCTCTAGAATTCCTAGCTAAGAAGTCAAAGTAGGTTAAGTGTCCCTTTGCATAACTTCTAAAATCAATTCTAAGTCATAAGTCAGGTCACTTGCACAAATACCCTTGTTGTAGAAATGTTTCAGTTGTCAGGGCTTTCATGAAGATCTGCTAGAAAACATTCCCACGAGTTTAATTCATGATTCAGTTTTTTTCCTTTTGGAAAACACATCAAGGATTCCAGTAGATGTTAAGTGATATATTATTTTTCAAAAAGTTGTATGTATAAATACAGAACAAGCAAATAAATTAAACAATCAGTAGCAAGCTCAGATATTCTTTTGCGCTAAACGATAAGAGCTTACAACCGCCATAAAAACTGGCATAGGACACTTTGAGTCCTATGGCAAAACAAAACCACAATGAGGTTTGAGTTAAAACTACAATTGAGAAAGCCATTCACTATTAAGTGACAAATGTCAACCAAGTCTGTTCATTTTTTTCCTTCTCTTTTCCATAGCATTAGTCTTTTTTTAAAAAGATCTAAAACCAAGGCATAAAAATGTTAATTGATATTTATTATGAGTTCTAAGAATATAAAACTGCATTCAGAACTAGATCAAAAAGAAACTGCTCATAGCACACACTTAAAGAGTACAAAAGTCAACTCATTATCAAAGCTATGCTCAGCAAATCCAAATAATGAGAATATATGTTTCTGGGGAGAAGTAATTAGAACCAATAAAGAGGAGACAATGTGACAAGTACAAGTTTTGGTCTAATATCCCCTGAAACATCCACTATCCTGAGAACTCTGTCATCCCTATCATGTTTTCACAGTATCTAAATCATCATGGGATTTTGTCACATGATCTTAAGTATCACTTACCCTAATGCACTAACTTCCCAAACTCAATCTATGTTTTCATCTCCATCCTCAGTGCCAACATCTTGGTCTAATCCCTCTTTAACTTGTAATGTTCTGCCCCACCAGTCTCCCCTAACTGATCTCCCTATGCCCATCCTCCTTCTCCAATACATTCTTAACATTGCAGCTGGAGCAATTTCTCTCAAGCCCAGGCCCTATCTAATTGTGTCCCTCCCCAGCTTAATTCGTTCAAGGATTCTCCATTTGCCTCATTTTTCATTTATCACCATATGACATATTATATTACTTGCTTGTTCAATATCTCAATTCAAATATGTTTCATTAGGTAGAGTCTTTGTTTGCCACTATATGTTACACAGTAAGCACTCAGACATGCACTTATGAATGAGTGACTTAACAGTAATGAATGGACTGATGACCTGCAAGCAAAAGGGCTCCATGACCCTCCAATTCCCTTCTCTTTTTCATTTTACTCCTACCTCTACCAATACCAAACCGTTCAGTTACTTAAACACAATATGCCCCCTTGCCTTTGCACATGCTGTTCCCTTTTACCTTGAATACAAACTCTCCTCACCATCTAATCAACCTGCGATGTGAACATCCATATTTTAAAACTGTCCCAGAAAGCTTCCTCTATCCCTTAAAGTATATACCACTCTTTATTCCTTTGTGCATTTCTATACAGTGGTTCCATCAAAGCGTACTAGAATGTACATCTCCCCTACTAGACTGTTCTTTCTTCACAGTCAAGAACTACTATTTATCACTTCACCTCCAGTGCCTAGGATAATACCTGCCATACACTAAAAAATGTGAGTAATGTATGGAGGACTATTCTGTAAGAGAATATGGAATTTCAAGAACTCATTCCTATGATTCTATAGTAAGTAATTACAGCCCATGAGATCATCCAAGGTAATGAAAGAAAGTTTTACAAATAATACACATCACCAAAGAATTCCAACATAACTGATAGAGAGTCACATTCACACGTTGTTGGGTATACATGCCATCATTTGCATTGCCTTTAGGTTCAGCTGTGTTGTTGCCAAACTTCAGTGAGGTTATACAGTAGAAGTAGAACTTCCCCATGAACAAGGAGATCACTCCGAGGAAGCTTTTGCTTTTCCATCTAATACAAATGTTTATGTTCCCTCATATTTTGATTCAAATTTATAAATAACTTTTTAAATAACTTGACAGGACTAGATTTCACCACTGGCCACATCTAACTAAGCCTGAGCTGAAAACCACAATGCATTTCTGTCATCAATCCATTACAGTTGTCTTGTCTTTGGAGTAGTTACACAGGGACAAACTCGTGGACCAGTAATGGTCAGCCAAGGAAAACCTCACCCCAGCATGCCTTACAAACATTATTTTTTTTTCTCTAAATGCTTTAGATGAAGGCCATTAGTCCAACCACAGGGTAACACCTGTCCTACCTGCTTAGTTCTAAGAACACAAACCTGCATATAACTGCACAATCACAGCAAATGTATAAAAGTGAATACAACAAATGTGCAAGACACCACCAAGAAAAGTTAAATGTTTTAAGCCCTAAGCCCATTATGGTATATAACATCGAGTGAAGTGAGAAGTCAAGATGTGATGTTTTCATCCTTCCCTACCACACCACACAGTAGAGTATGGCAAATTTTACCTCCTAATATTTTTTCAAATAGGTTGCCTACTACCATTATTATGTCTTGGTTAAGAATCATGTCATTTCTCATCAGGATTATAGTCTCCTAATTTGTGTCTATCGTTGAATTCAATGAAAATTTCACCTACCACTGCAGAGTGTTTATGTAACCAGCATAGCACTAAGCAAGTGATCACCTAACTCTATTTGCAACAGCGCAAAGAAAGAATTTCTGTTTTTCTATTCACACATAAGGGGAATGAAGCTCTGGAAGAAGTAATTCGTCCAAGGTCACACAGCTGGCAACTGTGCAGTTAGGAATTCAAACTCTGATAAAAGTACTTACACATTGGGCTCTCCCTGGTGGCGCAACAGGTTAGGATGCAGCACTGTAAGCTAGCCGCAACTGCTTCAGTGTCAGTTGATCCCCAGCCCTGGAGGGGGACCCACATGGCGTGGCAGACCTCTCCTGACCCCGCCCGCTGCTCCCCTCAGCAGTGTACTTTGTCGATCTGCCTGTTCTGCTCCCCACTCTGTCTCTGGTGAAGCCTCTCACCGCCCCAAGCCTCTGGCCTGTACCCTAGTTCTGTATGAATAAATAAAGCTTTAAAAAAAAAAGTACTTACACATTATATGCTAAAATGTATATATACCTTTAAATCAGTCCTCAGACCTTTCCAAAAAAAAGGTAAATGTAATCATGTTTTGCCCCACATAAAATCCTGCAAACAGGACCAGTCTTTCCAGTCCTCATCCTGTCATCCTCACCCCCTCATGCACACTTAACACCTTGCAATTTCCTAACCAATCTCTCATTGTTTTACCTGTGAAAACAGTTTTCCTCTTTGGCAGGCTACTTCCAACACAAGCTTCCAAGACTTATGCAGATAATCTTTATTCTGGGAAGCTTTTACTCTAAGACATCACCCAAAATTGAATTAAATGACCATTTGCTACAGTTAATCAGATAAATTTCTAATCATGCTATATCATAACTTTACCTTACTAACCTATTAGTTCTTTATGAGTAAATAGTGAACTTTTAAATCTCTGTATTGCCAGTACAGTGTGTAAGTAGTAAAGGAAGTTTTCATGAATGTAAAATTAATAATGTGTGATTCATTAGAAGCAATACAGCTCAGGAACTTGACACAAACATCAATCTTATGTGCTTTCAAATCTTAACCCTCAGGTATATAACATACCTGCCAAGTCTGCAGCAAGAGTTTCTAAATCTATTTTATTTCTTCATCTGTAAAATGGGAGATAATTGTACATACTTCAGAGTTAGGAGAAGAGTAAAACTAACAGATTTATAGCACAATCTCTGGCACACTGAAAACAAACGTGAAACTTAGCAACATTCCCCCCTCCCAAGTTTATCTATCATGATAAATCGTACTCAGAAAATAACTTCTAGTAGCTTCCGTAATATTTTAAGAATTCTCAAAAAAAAAATCGGAAATCAAGATCTCTCATAAACATCTTAAACCACAAACGTGGGTCTTTCAAAGCTTCTGGTTATGCCCAAGCAAAGTAGCTACCACTAACTAGTTTAGCGATACATAACTAGTAACTAAATCACTAATGTCTGCAGATTTCGCTTCGAACCCAACAAGCCTTGGCTTCCCTTCTCTCCTGCTCCTAAGCAAGGAAAACCAACCCACAGAAATCAGTCAGCGCCTTCCAGGAAACCACCAATTCCAGCAACCAGCGTGAATTAGAAGAGATCAATACTGTCATCTAGCACAAATCAAAATCTCAAAGGATCATGAGAAAATTCCTTCTGTCCATTCCAAGACCTTAGTTTCCAAAGTATAAATGAAAGATAATTAATTCCTATCATTAGGAACCCCAGAAAAAGGGTCCCCTTCTAGCCAATCCCAGTAAGAGTTCTTCAGATACTGTTACTCCAAAATAGTGACCAAAGCTCACCATTCTATCCATACAGGGTCTCGTGCACTCTTTCCTGAGAGATGGGTCGACATCCTTTAAGGGACCGGATGCCTCCCTTCCCACCTGACCGGTGCCCTCCCGCAGCACAGGCCCGGCCTGGTTCCCAGCTGCCAGCTCACTCCACCCGGCCGCTACTCACCGCTTCTTAGGGATGGTGCCCGACTCCTGCGCCGCGGGAGTCGCCGCGGGCTCCGCCGTGGCCGCCGACGCGGTTCTCCGCGCTTTGCACTCATTGGTACTCAGAGCCTCCCGCGGCCGGCCCAGCAGATGGCCCGAGAGAACCCGCAGCCTCCGCCCGGCGCGGTCCCGCTCAGCGTCGCGGTCCTGGTCCGTTCCAGGGCCGGAGCCCGCGCCAGCACTCGTCCCGCCGGCTGCAGCCGCCGCCTCCGCCATGGCTTCCGCCTTGTGCCGCCGCCCCGGACCGCTGGGCGCGGGTGAAAGGTCACTCACAGCGGCGCCCGGCGCGACCATTCGCTGCAGCGCATCCCGGCAGCCACTGCGGCGACTGGGCGGCGGGTGCCATGCGCCTGGAGCTTCACATTCTCAGCCCCCGCCCACCGCGCCCGCCCGCCCCCGGCGGTCACGCCTCGGACTGCCAGCACCTGCTGAGTTTGAGCTGTCTCGGGGTTGGCCCACCCGAGCCGGACCAGGAGGCAAGCCACCAGCATCCTCGAGGTACCCCAGTACCCTGAGGGGTGTGATCTGGACCTCACCTGGACAGTGCGGCTCGAACTGACAACCGGAACCAGCGCCATCGTTTACTTGTGTGAGCTCTTACTGTAGCTCCTTGTCCCCGGGAGGTCACAGAAGTTACTCAAAACTGGTTGCCTGTAACCGCTAGAGCAACTAGGTATCGCTTGCTCTCGCCTATTTCAAATCTGGCACTATGAGTAATGCTAGATGACAAGTAAGTAATCTCTATTGATACTCGGCCTGTGAATACAGCTAGTAAGTGCTGGAGAGAAGTGGTAACATAAGTTCTCTTGCCATTCCTTAATGGATATTGTGCTCTTCTTTAGTCTAATGGAGGCAACCTGTTTTATTGCTACAGATGAAACTGCCCAACATCTGTTCTAAAAACCTCTTAGTTATTTTACAAATTAACTTCGTTCAGAAGGATGACACTTGGTGAAATTAAAGACACTCATAGAACTGTTTTCCAGAACCATTTTTACACAGGGTTAGATGTTATTTTACAAACCATCCTGCAGACTTATCCATCAGAAGTAAATTTTCCTTTCCTATAATGTGCAGTTCAAAGATAAGACTTGGGATTGGTAAGAGAAAGGATTGTCATAAAGGCACTTTGGCTGGTAGTGTGAGGGGTCAAAGCACAGCACTGTGAAGTTCTTCACAGCCACTGCAGCACAAGTTCAATCCCCGGCAGGGAGGTGACCTACATGGTGTGGAGGACCTCTCCTATCTGCCCGCTGCTCCCCTCAGCAGTGTATTTCAGTAGATCTGCCTGTTCTGCTCCGCGCACTGTCTCTGGTGAAACCTCTCACCATCCCTGCACCTCTGTACCCCAGCTCCTATGTGTAAATAAATAGATCTTTTAAAAAAAAAAAAAGTATTGTCATAAAGATTTCAAGCCATAGCAAGTCACCTTTTCTCTTTTAACTTAATTTTATTATATTTTAAAGAAACAATAGGGAGCAGGACAGATCTACAAGGTACACTGCTGAGGGGAGCAGTGGGGGGAGACAGGAGAGATCTGTGGCCCGATATGGATCACCTCCAGGGTGGGGATCTATCTACCAAGCCCCAAGTGAGGGGCTTGGCTTGGCTTAGCTTGGCAATGCAGTACTCCAATCTGCTGGCCACCAGGGTGGGCCCCACCTTTTTTTCTAATGTAGATTCTGTGAAAGCATTAAGTAACTCCAGGAGTTATTCAATAGTTCTGAGGAAGTTAAAACAGTAGTGAGGAGAACTTAATTTTTATGCCAGGTCTCCAGGTCTTAAGAAATAATCCAGGGCCCTCTCTGGTGGCTCACTGGGTTAAAGCATAGTTTTAACATTGCTTCATACAGACTATGAAGCAGTCTGTAGCCACTGCAGCCCGAGTTCAATTCCCTGCCAGGGAGGTGACCCACATGGTGAGGCAGACCTCTCCTGAACCTGCCCACTGCTCCCCTCAGCAGTGTACTTCATCAGTCAGCCAGTTCTGCTCCCCACTATGTCTCTGGAAAATCCTCTCAACCTTCCGTACCTCTGGCCTATACCCCAGTTCTGTATGCATAAATAAATAAATCTGTTTTTAAAAAAGAAATAAATAATTCAGCATTAAATATTCATTTTAACTCTAGAATTACTGAACCCAACTCCAGTTTAGCTGCTGCTTCTAGCTATTGTATTCTTTTAAAGGGGGAAAGCCAGTGGCTATTTCAAATGTACTAATGGTAAATAAAGGAAAGGGACATATGTTACTGGATGTTTTAAGGAGAATGGTCCTAAAGTTTCAGAGTCCAGCAACTCTCTATTCTTAGAGCTTCCTACAACCTTTACGGACATTACTAGAACAGCACTAAAACACTAGCACATTTACTTGCAATCATGTAAAATTCATGAATTTATTGCCAAAATACTTTAACAGTAACAACGTCCTCAGAATCTTTTTTGGATGAAATTTGGTATTTTTTCTTGACTCTCAGAGCTCAATATAATGCTACTAATTTTTAAATGCTAACACTTTTAAAGTGTTATATATAAATTTATACATATTTATATATAGCTAAATGATTTCTTTAAACTTGTCCACATTGAGCAATGGACATGCTTCTTGTCAATTCTCAGGAGGTAAAACATAAATACTGCAAATATCAACAGAAGAACTGAAATTCTTTTCTGATTGGTGATAATAAGCTTGATGCAAACCAAAATTATGTACCAGTAAAAAAATATCCTATATGTTATCTGTGGTAATAGCATGTTTTTTCATTTTCAACGTTGGCTATTTTATGCTCACACTCTTTTTCTGAATCTGTTTGCCAAGGCATTTATTAATTTTGTTACTTTCTTAAAGTACCAACTTTGGGCTTTATCTGGTCCTATTATATGCATGCTTTCTTATTGATTTTTTCTGATTTTAACCTTTTTTTTAGAATTTCTTTAAAATGAATACTTGCCTCATTGATTTTTCAGTCTTTTATGTCTGTGTTTTCTCGTATATGTTTAGGGTTCTAAATTTCTCTCTAAGCTATAACATCTTTCAAATTTTGATAGAGTATTTTCATTATTACTAAGTTCTAAATAGCTTCCATTTATGCATGAAATAACAATTATCCTCTCTTGTTTCCTGACATAGTATTTCCCAAATACAAATCTGACCTAATGGTTGTATTGTTCAAGCCCCTTCTATCATAATTGTATTTTTTCTACTCACTGTATCAGTTTTGAAGTATGTTGAAATCTCCCAGTATTATTATTGATCTATCTGGTTCTTTGTAGTGTATTCTCTGCTTTGAAGCTACATACTTTAAATTTCAAAATTATCATATTTTCCTGATGAATTGAATCTTGTATAATGATCAAACATCACACTTTGTTTCAAATAATGATTTTTGTCTTCAAGTTTATGTATGTGTGTGCTGTCCCATCCTATTAACTAGTGAGTCACTACTGTATACTAATCTTTCTGCATCCATATATTCTATTGTGTCTTTTTGGAAACAACATTTAGGTGTTTTCTTTTAACCAATTGAGCATAAAATCTTGGATCATTTAGCCCATTTAAATGTAATTGTACTAAATTATATTAAATACTGATATATTTAGTATAATGACTAAGACCACTAACTTTCTTGCCAGACAGACTTGGGTTTGAAAATTGGCTCTATTATTGACAAGATGTGTTGAGTAGTGTTTGCCATATTAATATCTCTGGGCAGGGCTCCTTGCCTATAAAACTGAAATAGTAATGACTACTTTCCAGGGGCATTAAATGACTAATGAGCAAAATATGTCATAGATTCTAAATGCTGTTATGGGGATAGAAGTGAAGCTCAGGTAAGAAAGAGAGAATTTGAGAAAGACAATCCATATTAAAGGGGGAAAAAAATGGTTGCATGGATACTATGAGATCAACTCATGGGAACACTGAAAACTTAGCAGAAGACTAAATATTTGATCTGGTGAGAACTGTTAAAAGTTCTGGAGCAGGGGATTAACAGTATAATAAGCCTGAAAAGGCCACGACTTTGGAATTTGTTCTCAAGCAGAAGTCAGGCTATTCTATATACTTCAGAACCCATTGGTATTTGTAAAAAATAAGCCGTCCCAGAAGATCTAAAGAACTACAAACTTCTACAAATGAAGTTAATCTTTTTGAATGATGGGGAAGCATTGAACTGTGGTTAGCCTCTGCTCCAGAAGAGAGCACTGAGTTAACCTAGGCAGTGGAGATAATTAATGTGAAAGTGGGTAGATGTTGTTCCATAGTCTGTTGCAATAGTACACTATATCAGGATGTCACAATCACATTAATACATGTGGGGAAGGAGGAACTGACTAAATTAGCCAAACCAGTGTGGTAGAGAAGAAAGTACTTTATGTTCTTTTTCTTTTCCACTACTGATTAACTAGACAACTTAAAATTCTTTGTTTCTCAAATATTTATAATTTAGATAGGAATAATTTCTGCCCTGCCTAATGCTTAGGTTTATTAGAAAATAATGAACATGCAAACATTTTGGAAATCAAAGTTAAAGGTGACTTCAAAATAGTTAAGTTTGGAACATACAAAATTAAGATTTAATATTTACCAATTTATACTATAAAGCAGACAGCTTTTTTTTTTTAAGATTTATTTATGCATACAGAACTGGGGTACAGGCCAGAGGTGCAGGGGGTAAGAGGATTCAGAGAGACAGAATGGGGAGCAGAACAGGCTGACTGATGAAGCACTGCTAAGAAGAGCAGTGAACAAGACAGTAGAGGTCTGCCGCGCCATGTGGATCATTTCCCTGGCCAGGGGACACAACGTGGCTGAGGTGGCTGCCGCTAGCTTGGTAGGCTGCGCCTTAACCTGTTGTTAAGGAGGACTGGAGACAACTTTTCCTTGACCATTTATATAAGCTGAAGTAACATTACTTTGCAACACTATATGTGATTCATAGATAGAGGACCACATGTCTCCCTATGGGTGCCACCACCAGGGCACCCAGGATCCTCCACCATAGTTCTACACCCTGCACTCCATTCTCTCTCTCCCACTGTGGTAACTCCAGTTTGGTAGTCAGATCTAGAGTTTGTTATTGGTTTGGTTCTATCTGACCCTTGTTTTGTTTCTCTATATTCCACATATAAATGAAGCCATCTGGTATTTGTTGTTAATGCAAGAAGCTTTTTCAGTTTTAAGGTTTTCAGTAAACTTATACTTTTTGGTCTCTGGAATTCCTTTATAATCTTAAAAACTGAGACTCCTAAAGAACTTTTACTTGTGCTTATACTTCTCTACTTATCTGTGCATTATTAGAAATTAAAATTGAAAAGTATTAAAAATATTCACCAATCTACTTGAAAATGATAATGGTTA